GATGCAAAAGCTGGTTGGACCTCACTGAGGGGCCCCAATTCTGGAGTGCGCACCTGACTGCTGGCTTCAGCACAGGCTAAGAGCATTCCTAGGTTCACTCCCTGAACCCTACTTGTGGCAGAGATTGCAGATTGTTCCCCAAATCTGTTCTTCCCTTCTTTCCATGGTGACAAAGCTCCCAAATTTTACCTAGACACAGCTACTTAGCTAAAGACCACATTTCTTGCTTCCCTTGTAGCTAGGTGGGATTATGTGACTGGGATGGTGCAACTTCTGGGTCTTACTCTTAAGAGGAAAGGGTAAGCTCTCTCACACAAACTCCCCTTTCCCTCTTCTCCCTGGCTGGAACGCGGACGAAAATAGTTGGGGTGGCAAACTATCTTTCATCAAGTGGATGCAAGCTACACCTAAAGTGGTGGAGAAGACATGAAACAGGAGCCTTCTGTCTCATCAAGCCACCCAACCAGCCCTGAACCACCTACCCCCACTTACACGGAAGGCATACCCTTCTGTCTTGTTTAAGCCACTGTATCTTGGGGACTTTTTGTTAGAGCAGCCTAACTCATATTAGAACACTTCATTTAATCCAGTAGAAATGCCCCAGCCCAGCTCTGCCAGGGGCCCCCAGGAGCAGTGAGAGACCACTGGCATTTCCTTTGACAAAGGGATCCTTGCTTTCCACACACCGGGAAATCTTTAGTTGCCTTAATAATCTGTTACAGGTCCATTATGCATAAATTCATCAAAATCCTTTTTGTGCCCTCACCTACTTCATTAAGGAAGAAGAGCAGGGATTAGCAGCCTCAGCCTGCCTCGCCATCATGCTCTCCTTAACTAGTCCTGTTTCTAGCTCCTTTTCTTCTCCTACCCGTAGGCCAAAGAGGGCGTGGGGGTGTGGCAGGAATCCCCTTGCACACAGCAGTGCTCCATGCATTTGAGGAACAGAATTAGGTACAGTCACAAGTCAAGAGTGTGAAACGTGAAGAGCAAAAACTCTGGACCAGAATGCCCTCGTGCAGGCTGCACCCTGCTACACACCAGCCCAGTGGACTGGGGCAGGTTACTGACCTCACCAGGCCTCAGAGTCTCAACTGCAAATTGAATATCTACTTTTGGGGTAACTGTGGGGATTCAATGAGCCAAAATGTGTAAAACACTTAGGGCAGTGACTGGCAAGAGTAAGTTCTCAATTAGTATTAGCCATTATTTATTATTTTAAAAGCAACACAAAAAAGAATGGCCTGGCAATGGAATAACATCATTTATAAAGCACAGCCACAGAGGTGTTCGTTAAATCCCCCCGACAAGGTATCATAATTATCTCATCCTATAAGGAGGAGTCACTGGGTGGTGCCAGCGGTTAACTGGCTTGGATGCTAATGGAAACGTTGGCAGTTACAGGCACCTTGGAAGAAAGGCCTTGCAATCTAATTTCAAAAAATTATTCATTGAAACTCTATGGACTATGGTTTTATTTTTTGAGTTTATATTATTTATTGACTGCTTGTTATTTGCTGCCTGATGTTGGGGGCTGTCAATTCTGACTCGTAGCAACCCCATGTGACAGAGTATAACTGCCCCATAGGGTTTTCTTCACTGCAATTTTTTAAAAAATTTTATTGAGCTCTAGGTTAAAGTTTACAGAGCAAATTAGTTTATCATTCAAAAATTTTATACTTGATTGAACTAAGAAGCACGTTCCTCACGTGGGTTATTGTTTGTTTTATAGGCCTGTCTAATCTTTGGCTGAAAGGTGGACTTTGGGAGAGGCTTCAGTTCTGAGTTAGCAGGGTGTCTGGTGGCCACAGCCTTGGGGGTTCCTCTAGTATGTCAGACCAGTAAGGCTGGTCTTTCTTTGTAAATTTGAATTTTGTTCTACATTTTTCTCCCGCTCTGTCCAGGACCCTCTATTGTGATCCCTGTCAGAGCAGTCGGTGGTGGTAGCCCGACACCATCTAGTTCTTCTGGGCTCAGGTTGATGGAGACTCTGGTTCATGTGGTCCATTAGTCCTTTCGACTACTATTTTCGTTGTGTCTTTGGTTTTCTTCATTCCCCTTTGCTCTGGACAGGATGGGACCAACAGATGCATCTTAGACGGCCTCTCGCAAACTTTTTGGACCCCAGATGCTACTCACCAAAGTAAGATGGAGAACATTTTAACTATGTCAATTGACCTAGATATCCCCTAAAACCATGGCCCCTAGCCCTCAGCCCCAGTAACTCGATCCCTCAAGGTGTTTGGATCTGTCTAGGAAGCTTCTATGGCTTTGCCTTAGTCTGGACTATGGTTCTGCTCTGACACACATGGGGTCGCCATGAGTCCGAACCCACCTGATGGCAACTGGTTTGTTTTTGGTAATAGAAACTAGTTTGGAAGTTAAGTGATTTGCTCAAGATCACACAGCTGCTGAGTTGTGGTGCCATAAATACAAACGTTACCCAAACTTTCTTTTGCTGTACCTCATGGCCTCTAACTAGTTCAGGATTCCAGGAAAGCAAAGCCCTGTAACTCCAGTTCCTTTAACTCTTGTCTCCATAAATCTAGGCCATTTTATTACTGGTCTCTCATATCAACCCTACTATCATTTAACTGTCTCAAGGTCAGAAACAAAGGGGCCTGCTGAGTACCCCATCCCCTGGCCACAGCTGGGGCTGCTCACTCAGCAGATGGGTGGCCAGGCCACCTCCTCAACAATAAACACCAGGAGATAATTATTAGACTTGAGACATGGAAACCGAGTGCAATGTGTGGATCTAATTTTGATCCTGATGCAAACAAGCCAATTATTAAAAGTAAAGAAACAGACAAAAAAATGAACACCTCTGAGACATTTAGAAAATTGAATATGCACTAGGTATTAGGGGATACTATGACATTACTGTTAATTTGTAAGTGTGATAATGACATGGTGGTTACATAAAAAATGTCCATCAACCTACACAAATATGCTCAACTGATTTTTGATGAAAGTGCAAAAGTAATTCAATGGAGGAAGTGTGGCTTTTTCAACAAATGTGGTGGAGCAATTGGACACCCACAGGCTAAAAAATGAACCTCAATCTAACCTCATACCTTATATAAAAACTCAAATGGATAACTGACTGAAATGTAAAATATAAAACTATGAACATTTTAGAAAAAAACAAAGAAAATTTTTGGGACCTAGAGCTTAGCGAAGGGTTTTTAGACTTGACGCTAAAAGCACCATCTATAAAAGGAAAAAACAATAAACTGGACTTCACCAAAATGAAAAACTTGCTCTGCAAAAACCCTGTGAAGAGGCTGAAAAGACAAGCTAGAGTGGCTGTATGCAGAGAAAATATTTGCAAACCACATATCCAACAGAGTACTTGTATCTAGAATATATAAAGAAATCTCAAAACAAATAATCCAATTAGAAAATAGGCAAAAGACATGAACAGATACTTCACCAGAGAGACATACACAAACAGAAACACAGCAATGAAACGTTTGCTATGGACTGAATTGTGTCCCCCCAAAATGTGTATCAACTTGGTTAGGCCATGACTCCTAGTACTGTGTAGTTGTCCACCATTTTGTGATTATCCTCCGTGTTGTAAATCCTAACCTCTATGATGTTACCAAGGCAGGACTCAATCTACAGGATTAGGTTGTATCTTGAGTCAGTCTCTTTTGAGATATAAAAGAATCAAGCAGAGAGGAGTGGGACCTCGTGCCACCAAGAAAGAAGCGCCAGGAGTGGAGCATGTCCTTTGGACTTGGGGTCCCTGTGCTGAGAAGCTCCTAGACCAGGGGAAGATTGATGACAAGGGCCTTCCTCCAGAGCCGAAAGAGAGAGAAAGCCTTCCCCTGTAGCTGGTGTCCTGAATTTGGACTTCTAGCCTCCTAGACTATGAGAGAATAAACTTGTTTGTTAAAGCCATCCACTTGTGGTATTTCTGTTACAGGTAACTAAGTCAACGTTCAACACTGTTTTAGCTATTATGGAAATACAAACTAAAACCACAAAGAGATACGCTATATGCCCATGAGAATGACTAAAATAAAAAACGACTAACACCAAATACTGGTGGAGAAACTGGATCACTCATATATTGCTAGTGGGAATGCAAAATGGTACAGCCACTCTGGAAAATAGTTTCTCATAAAACTAAATGCGCCAAAAACAAATAACATGCAGTTACCATAATATATTGATTCCAACTCATGGAGACCCCATGTGTTAGAGTAGAACTGAGCTCCATAGGGTTTTCTTGGCTGTAATTTTTATGGAAGCAGATCACCAGGCCTTTCTTCTGTGGTGCTGCTGGGTAGGTTCGAACCACCAACCTTTAGGTTAGTAGTTGAGTGCAAATTGTTTGCACCACCCAGGGACAGGGCCTAGCAATTTACTCTTGGGCATATATCCCAGAGAAATGAACACTTATGTTTACACAAAAACCTTTACACAAACGTTCATAGCAACTTTATTCGTCATAGCCAAACACCAGAAATAGTCCAAATGTCCTTCAACTATGGTACATGCATACCATGGGATACTACTCAGCAATAAAAAGAAATGAACTATTGGTACAACAACCCGGATGTATCTCAAGGAAATTATGCTAGGTGAAAAAAAGCCAATCTCAAAAGGTTACATACTGTATGATTCCATTTGTACAACATGCTTTAAATTACAGAGATGGAAAAGAGTAGTAGCTGCCAGGGGCTAAGGATAAGGAAAAGGAGAGAAGTTGATGTGGTTATAAAGAGACAGCATGAGGGGGCCTTTGCTGACAAAACTGTTGTGAATCTTGACTGTGGTGGAAGTTACATGAATCTACATGTAACAAAGGTGCACAGAACTACATACACACACAAACGAGCACATGTCCTGTTAGACCCGTTGCTGTCATGTCAAATTCTGACTCACAGCGACCCTACAGGACAGGGAAGAACCGCCCCACAGGTTTTCCAAGGCTGTAATCTTTACGGAAACAGACTGCCACATCTTTCTCCTGTGGAGCAGCTGGTAGGTTTGAACTGCTGACCTTTCTGTGAGTAGCTGAATGCTTAACCACTGCATCACCAGGGCTCCTTTTATGAGTGCATGTAGAAACTGGTGAAATCTGGTAAGTTCTGTGGATTGTACCAACGTCAATTTTCTGGTTTTGATATTGTACTACAGTTATGCAAGATGTTACCACTAGGGGGACAGGTGAAGGGTACCTTTGTAACTTCCTGTGAATCTACAATTATTTCAAAATAAAAAGTTTTAGAGAGTCAGATGCATACTGACATATTTACAAATTGAATGACGTAAGTCTGGGATTTGCTTTAAAAAATACTCCAGAAAAAAAAAATGTAAGGAAAAAAGTGGGGGAAATAAATAAAATAGAACTGACAGATGTTGGTAACTATTGCAGCTGAGTGATGGGTATATACTGGTTCATATTCTTTCTTCTCCAGTTGTCTATGTGTTTGGAAATTTACAAAATGAAAGTTTTACAAAGTTTCCAGGGCTACTTAGTCCAAAAGAAAGGCTACCCACAGCCATCATCATCACTGCAACTTTTGAACACAAATTAAGTTCAAGCTCATAATTCTGTCTCATTTACAAAGTTTTTTATTATGATGTTCTATCATGCACTTATAATCACATTTTTAATCTGGCTCTGTGTACCATTTCTTCCCTCCAAAAAAATCCCTGAAGTTATAAAAAATAGAAATTTAGAAACATACATCGAGAAGTACGCAGTTTTTACACAACAACAGTTGGGTTCAAGTTGTCTAATCATTTCCCAGTGTCACAGCAGTACAGCCTCTGCAATCTCAACAGCAGAAATGGTTAACACTTTTCCAAAGCTCACCTTATCCCTCAGCACACTGGCATTTAACAAGTGCTTGCTCTGGACGGCAACAACGAATGAGAAGCTGCAGAAATGTTGGCTGGGATGACCACTCCCAAGAGCAGTGAGAACAGCAAGGTGGGAAGATTTCAGCCCTGCATCTGCATGGCTCAACCCTGGGATTGTATTTAAATTCACCAGGTCAAGAATCCACAAGAACTGAGCACAAACCCCAGGGGGTCAACGCAGGTCCAGCATCATGTACACAGCAGCTGTCCCAGTCTAATTGCTTTCAACGGAAGAGTTTTGGGTCACTAAAAACCTGTATGTGGACCAGAGTTGGGGAATCTGATTATCTCACTAGCATCCCCTCATCAGTTACTGATAAGCAGCTCTTTCCTTCCAGGCAAAGGAATGGAATGTCTCAGGGAACAGGAAGGTCAGAGAAACACAGAGTCCGCTGGCCATTCACCAGGTTTCTCAAATTGACCAGGACGACAGAAAACTGACGTGACACTTGACACCAGGTGGGAGTGTAAGTTAAAATAAAATCCTCAATATGGACATTAGGATTCTGGCCTAGGGAACACCTTGTTTATCTTGTGTGAAACTTCCAAGTGTCGCTGGTATTTTTCTTCCTTGGACTTGGTTTTATAATTTCTTCCTTCTGAGACCAGCCAGAGGATATCAGGATGGCCAGCATTTTCCTTAAAAACCTGTTTCCGGGTGTGCAGAGAACATCAACAATGAAGTCGTCTCTCCCCAGGAGACTGAGGCTGAGAGATTTCAGACCTCCTTCCAGAAGGACACCTTGGCTTTGCCCCTAGGCTCCTTAGCCCACTTCTGCCGTGAGGTGAGAACATGGCTTCCATCCACATCAGCCTTCCAGAGCACAGTCAGGCTGCTCAGCTTTCAGAACACGAGGCCAAACCCACCCCTCTGCCACCCTGTTTCCTGTTGTTTAAAATCTGGCTCTTCTATCAAGTAACAGCATGCTATCCAGGGCTCCAGCTCCTTGTCAGAGAAAACCTCTTTTCCCAGGAGGGGCCATGACTTGGTGGCTCCCCAGCACACATGCCACAGAGGGACAATAACAAGTCTCTCAGGAGAGACTGCTGACTTGTCTGAGGGCACTTTCATCACATGCTGATGCGAGGATCAGTGCTGCTCTTGCATGTCATTTCCCTCCACGTGAACATATCCACCCACAGCCCAGGTCAAAGCTGTGGTCAATGAGCCATTCAGCAGCTCACTGGCCTCCTGTTTCCAACATGTCAAGAGAAGGCAAAGCCACTTTCCATCAGCTCAACAGGGCACTTGGAGCCCAGGTGAAGTGTCCATTGAGAATGAGGTTCTGGGACGACAAATTCGTACCAGAAATTTCTTGTAAGTCATTAAAAGGGGTCCAGATATCCTGAAATACAAACCGGGCAAACAGTCTTTCTGGTAGCAAGCAAAGGAAGCAAAGAACACTTTCTTTCCTGCCACCTCCCCTGGTTTTCCAGACTTCAAAGGAATCAAGTCCTGTGATAAAAAATGAAGTTACCAGCTGCCCCTACACCCCACAGTATGGCCTGGTTGATGAAGAAGCCTCATTATCATCCTCTTATCTTCCTCAACTCGAACATCCAGTGACAGTAGGCCATCTTCATGTAAAGTCTGCTATTAAAATCACACTCGGTCACACCCTCACAACCTCAGCTCAGCCACCAAGAGGCTACCCTCTTTTCTTCCCTCAAGTGCCTTTGATTTGCCCAGGAGGGTGATGTCCACATCCCTGTATAAGCCAGGCTTCCTTCTCAGCTCACGAGAGGGACCTAGAAAGAAGAGGAATCCATGGAGCCTGCCTGGTGGGGGCCCCACCCGCTCGCCTTCTAGGGGGGAAGATCTCCTGGGCTGTGAGGGTTGCTCCTCGGGCTGCAAGACATTCAACTTCTAAGGAATATACGGGAGCCAATAAGAAGAGGAGAAGGGAAAATACTTCCTCTCACCATAGACGTTTCCCCCAAGGTTCGAACCCACTGGTGAACCTCTCTTTTCTGCCAAGGGGCAGAGAAGACCACCTCAGTTGGCCAGAGAAGCCTCTCTGGACCCCAGCCTCCAACTCACTTCTTCCTGCGGATCTTGGGTTTCTTCACGGGCCGCAGGTAGGGGTTATCAATGATGTTCTCCTCCCCATTCCGGTTTCCTGACAAGGAGGTGTTCTGCTGCAGGACAGATGTATTCTCCTTTTCGGCTCCTGAATCATCCTTTGAACAAAAGCGAAAATAAAACAAAACACCAATGGCATAAGGGAAGAAATAAGACGCCCATATTAAGAACTACTATTAGCATCCCCTTACTAAGAAATTAGAAGCCCAGGGACCACCTTCTTTCCAGTGTGCCCAGCTCTGCCCCAGATGAAACGAGGTCCAGGCAGCGGCTGGCTAACAGGGGAAGGTGAGGCTGACAGCTCTGACACAGTGGAGCACACAGCATGGAACCCTGAACATCTTGAGAGGGCAGGGACAACAGGTTAGGAAGAAGAGAGGCCTGGGAGGGGCAAAGGGCTAAAATTTAGATGCCTCAGGGAGGAAGCCCAGCCCTGTGGGGAAATAAAAAAAAAGGGAAATGACCCTTAGTACCTCTGGCCAGGGCATTTGCATAGGGCATCTCCTGGACCAAAGCTAATATGAAATCATAATAAATTTCCTCTGGAAACCCTGGTGGTAGAGTGGTTAAGAGCTATGGCTGCTAACCAAAACGCTGGCAGTTTGAATCCACCAGCCGCTCCTTGGAAACCCTATGGGGCAGTTCTACTCTGTTGGAATCGACTCAAATTCTCAAATTTCTGGTACTTGCAACGTGGTCCCAACAATCATCCCAGCAGAGGCCAGAAACTTCTCTAGTCCTGAGGGTTCCCGACAAGACCAAGCAAAGCCTGTAGGTCCCAACTTGTGTCAGGGAAAGGCCTCAAGCAGTGGCTCCAGACAGTGGTCCAGGGACCAGGCACAGCAGAGAGACCTGGGGAGCTTGCTCAATATTCAGAGACCCCAGCCCACAACCAGAGATTCTGCCTGAGTGGGTCTGCCTTCTTAACCAGCCCTTGGGTGATTCTGCCTTAGAGCTAGGCCTAAGACCCACTGGTCCAAGGCTCAGACATGAAAAAGGGGAGGAAAAGTAGGCAAGGGGGTAGGAAAAGAGAAGAAAGGAAGTCAAGAGAAAGGAAATGAGGAAGAAAAAGAGATACCTTCACAGGAGAGTGGTAAAATGCCATCAATGCCTACCCAAGATGTCCCTTAGAACAGACTCACTATAACCATTTTAAAAGGCCAACATTTACTCCCAAACGTGGGGACAGAAGCATTCTTATACACTGCTGGTGAGAGTGGAAATTAGCACAACTCTTTTGGAAAGCATTTCGACAACATTCAGTCAACACAGATTTCCTGAGCGCCTACAATGTGCCAGGCACTGTGGAACACAAAGAATATAATGGGGAACAAATAAGAATCAGTCCTTCTTCCTACGTACACCAAAACCTTAAAAATGTTCATGCTTTTGGCTTGTGAGTGGTCATCTAAGATACTCCACTGGTGCCACCCCGCCTGGAGTAAGGGAGAATGAAGAACACAAAAGACACACGGGAAAGATTAGTACAAAGGACTAACGGACCACAACTAACAAAGCCTCCACCAGACTGAGTCCAGCACAACTAGATGGTGCCTGGCTACACCACTGACTGCTCTGACAGGGATCACAATAGAGGGTCCCAGAGAGAGCTGGAGAAACCCCAAGAGTATGGCCCCTGGACACCCTTTTAGCTCAGTAATGAAGTCATTCCTGAGGTTCACCCTTCAGCCAAAGATTAGACAGGCCCATAAAACAAAACAAGACTAAAGGGGCACAGCAGCCCAAGGGCAAAGACTAGAAGGCAGGCGGGTACAGGAAAGCTGGTAATAGGGAACTCAAGGTCGAGAAGGGAGTGTGTAGACATGTTGTGGCGTTGGTAACCAATGTCACAAAACAATATGTGTACTAATTGTTTAATGAGAAGCTGGTTTGTTCTGTAAACCTTCATCTAAAGTATAATTTAAAAAAACGTTCATGCTTTTGGAAACTTGAATGCTATTTATGAGCATATGCTAGTGAAATAATCACTTTCAGATAAATTTATGTACAAACATTTTTTCACTACGCCATTATAAAAACAAAAACTGAAAACCTAAACATTCAGAACAAAAGTTAGATAAAGTAGGACATACCCGTAAGATCTAATATCAAGCAACGATTAAAAAATCAGGTTTTTTACTGTTTGTTTTTTGACAGAAATGTGATTTTGGAAACGTATATAAGTTCACATATAGTCAGTATGATTCCAATTAAAAATTTTTTTTTTTAAATCATAATTGTGCGCAAAAAAAAAATCCGTTGCCTTTAAGTCGATTCTGACTCATAGTGACCCTATAGGACAAAGGAAAACTGCCCCAGAGGGTTTCCAAGGAGTGGCTGGTGGATTCGAACTGCTGATCTTTTGATTAGCAGCCATAGCTCGCTGTAGTTCTCAAGCACTGCACCCCCAGGGCTCAACTGCGTGTAGACATAGGAGAAAAAGTAGTATGCTAAAATTTTAAAAAACTGGTTCTAGCCTCAAAAATTGTTTATCTTAATTAGTAAATAAGTCTGCCTTGAACATTGTGCTCTTTTAAAGAATTATCTATGTGAGATCAAATTGACAACGGCAACCTGAAAGGTTGCCAAAACTTTCCAAAGCCTAGGGGGCAGTGAATTTAAGATAATGGCAGTGGAATAACTTGGAAAAGGACAGCAAGAATGGTGCGCAACTTAAAGAATGTAATCAACATCACTGAATTGTATACGTAGAAATTGCTGAAATGGTGTATTTTGGCTGTTCCAGTTAAGATTACTTTTGCGTGTGGCCTTCCTAGCCATGGTCTTGAGACTCCCACCCAGGTGACTGGATGGGGGCTGTGCAAATAAGATAATTGTGGCCCATCGAGGGGATTGGTCAGCTTTGCCTCAAAAGAGAGCCAATTCCAGAGAAGAAAGGAGAGCCCACCACCACCACAGAAGGGGAGGCTCATAGCAGAGATCCGTAGGAGATGGTGCAGTGGGCTTCCAGGCCCATGGAACGGGAAAGCTGAGGGTCTTTAGGCAGAGACCGAGGGCCAGGGAGAAGTCTATGCCTGACCCACGAATTTGGGACTTGCCAGCCTTCACAACCACATGAGCCATTTCCTTTATATGGTTCATGAGATCTGTGAGACGTTGCGGTGAATTAGGGAACCCAAAGACAGGAGGGAGAGTACTGAGGCGAGAGGGAGTATTTGATGTTAGAGATGGAGTGGTGCAGTGGCTTGGAAAAATTAGACATTGGGGTATCTTTAGCCTCCGCCTCATAGAGACCAGCTTTGTGCTGATCCTTATAAAAGAAATTATTTGTGTAGCTGTATATGCTTTCACCAAGATAAAAAATATAAAAAAAAAACAACAGAGACTGGTTCTGGGAATATGGGTGATTGATTCTCTTTTCCTTATTTATACTCTTAAGTTCTCTAAAATGGGCAGAGGTGGCAGGAGTAGGGGTAGGGAGATCACATCAGAAACTTAACGTAGAAGCTCAGGTCTAATTGACCAAAAGATCCAGGTGGTTGGCCTGCGCCCCCTGGTGACGGGCAAGGTTCTGTCGGGGAGAAGTCACTGAGATTACTGTTCTGCAACTTGAGGCAAAAGATGACCTCAACCAGAAGAGTCAACTATCAAAACAGACAGCTGGGCAGAGGCCGCTGTGATCAGATGGTGCACAATGAACAGCTGGTTCTGTTCAGGAGGGGCAGTGGTCCCTACAAGGGACAGCTGGCCTAGGATGTGGACACCAGTCCCAGGCTTAATGTAGTTCTTAAAATGGCCTACAAAGCCCTACCTGATCCAACCCCTCCCTCTCCCTCTTGGCCACAGGCACACTTGCCCCCATGCTGTTCCTCAGTGCCTTTGCACTGGCTGTTCCCTTTGCCAGAACACTCTTCCCCAGATATCTGCATGGCTCACTCCCTTACCTCCTTCAAGTCTCTGTTTAAATGTCACCTTCTCAGTGATGCCTACTCTGACCATCCTATTTTAAACTCAGACCACTGCCCCTCACCCTGGATCTTCCCCTACTCCTTTTTTTTTTCCCCACAGCACTTTTATCTTTAATATACTAATGATTTATTTATATTTTATCTTTATTGTTGTTTTCTCACTGCAAAAACACAGGCAGTTCTTCCCAAAAGGCATAAGTTTTGTTCATTTTGTTCACTGCTGTATCTCAAGCACCCAGAACAGTATTTGGCACATACCAGTACCAGCTGCCATTCAGTTGATTCCAACTTATGGCAACCCTATGTGTGTCAGAGTAGAACTGTGCTCCATGAGGTTTTTAATGGCTGATTTTTTGGAAGTAGACCACCAGGTCTTTACTAGGGGCTAAATAAATACTTGTAGAGTGAATGACTGGTACATTTTTCATAAGAGGGTAAAATTTTAGACATCTGGATTGTCGGCAAAAGGCAGTTGATAGAAATGTATGAGAAAAAAATTCTAACACACACTAATTTAGAATGTACATGGAGAAGCTAGAACTAGGTTAAGCAAAGTACTACCTAGCAATAGTCCTTGAGGGATGTGTTGTCATTAATAGATAAGAATAATTGAAAATATCAGTTATTTAATTTGCTGTTAACAATGTCTGTAAGTATAAAATATAGAAAATAACATAAATGCCCATAGGGAACTAGTTATTAAACGATCACGTCAATACAATGGGATACTATGAAGCTGGGAAGAATGAAGAATCGCCTTATATACCAATACGGAATGATTGCCAAGATAAAGCGATAACGGAAAAAAAGCAAGAGGAGAACCATTTGTGATTTGCTACTGTTTGTGTTTAAAGTAAAACAAAACAAAAGCAATGTCTCTAGAGGGATACACAAACAACTCATGACAGTGGTTGTTTTGTGGGAGGGAAACTGGACGAAGGGAAAGAAGCATGGGAGGAAGAACTGTCACCAATACCTCTTTTTGTGCATTCTGAATTTTGAAACATGATTATATTTCCCAGTCCAATAAAATAACAGTAAAAAAAATTTAAAGTCCAATGAATTAAACTGTTGCTAAAATCTTTTTCTTGAAGTATTTTTTTTAAACAGAAGAGACCGTTTTCATACAGCATACAAAGTCAGGGGAGGGCCAAAAGGTCAACCATTACTCTAAAGCAAAAGATGAGAAGGTTAGGGGACAGGGAAACTAGAGTACTGGAAATGAAATCACTAGAATGGAATTAAAGAGAATGTTGACTCATTGTGAAAAATGTAACTAATGTCGATGAACAATTTGTGTAGAAATTGTCAAATGGGAAACTAATTTGCTGTATAAACTTTCACCAAAAACAAATTATTATTTAAAAAAAAAAAGGGAGGGAACAATGTGTTTTACCTGCTACTAGGCACCTGAAACCTGTGAGAACTGGAACTCATCAAGACTGCCTTGTTTTTCCAGGTCTCACAAGTTTTCTGCCTTTGACAGAGTGCAGTCTTACCGCTTTTCTATCGTTCGTTTTATTGGAAAATGTTTGAGTTTTCCTTCTCTGACAGGTTTCTGCCTTACACAGGTTCCGGCTTTCACCAGTTTTACTATATACATTTGCTCATTTTCTCAGCCCTCACTCTTACTCCCTGGAGGTAGGTTTTCCTATTTCTATTTGTTCTTGTGAGGAAACAGACTCAGACGTTAGATAATACAATCAGTCACACAGCTGGTGAGTAACACTCTGGACTTTAAGCCAGGCCAGTCTGCCTCCAGGGTACAGGTCCTTCTACTCTTTGCTGTCTACAAACCTGGTCAGCCTCTCAGTAACCAGGAATCCTCAGGCAGCCCTTTATATACTCTGTCAGCCTTGGTTCACTCAACATCATGACCTAACCTTCCATCACTACCTGGATCGCTGGATATCACATCTGAAAGCCCTTTAACTATACTGTGCTTACAAATGGATGGTGATGCTGCAAAATAATAAGCTTGCTTAGAAGATTTCCCCTTCTCATAAGGTAAACCTCAACTTAGTCCACTACCCTATCACCTTATCTCAGCCCAAATTAGCTGAGTTCAAAACGGAAGTGTGGGATAATGATTTCCTCTGCTTTATTTGAAGCCATGGGCTCCCAGGCCTAATTCTGAAAGGAAAAATTTGATCTTAAAGAAATTTGTTTTCATGCAAGGAAGACCTTCGGCAAACAACAGAAATGGTACTGATGCCATCCATCTGCAAACTGCAGCTGTTACTGCCATTTGATACATCACATCTTAAGAAAATATGAGGAACATCCATCCAACTACAACCACTGAGGCATCCTTCGCTTAAAAACCAAGGCCAACCCACTTACATGAAATTACTAGAGTAGGAAAATGCATAGAGACCAACGTTTATTAGTGGTTAATGGGCAGGTAAGAGAGAGAGAGAGAGAGAGAGTTACTGCTTAAGGGACATGAGTCACTGTTAAGGGTGATGAAAAACATTTGGAAAAGGACAATGGTGATGGCTGCGCAGCAGGATGGACATAATTAACGTTACTGAGTTATACATGTAAAAGGGTTGAAACAGCAAACGTTTTGTTATATATATTTTTGCCACCAAAACAAAACACCATCCTCCACAACACAGCCAAATGATCTTTTAAAAATACAAACCTAATCAGGTTATTTCCTTGGTTAAGAAGTACCCAAGGGCATAAAATCCAAATTTGTACACACACACACACACAAAAAAAAAAAAAAAACCCAAGGCCAATTTTAAAGGATGGTTGAACGTGAAAACCTGACTACAAGGGTCCTGTAAATCTTACAAGAATTAGAGGTTCCAGCATTTCTGTGACTTGGTACTGTCTCCCAAGATATGGGAACAAGAGATACTTGCAAGCCTTGTTCCCTTCAGGCCTTTACTGAAATGTCACCTTCTCAAGTCACCCTATCTAATACTGCATCCTCACCCCCCGCCCCTGTCCCCATACTCATTTCCAATCTCCTTATTATTTTTTATGCACTCCATGAGGGCAGGGAATTTTGTCTATTTTGCTTCCTACAAATCCCCCAGCACCTGGAACTGTGCCTGGTCCTGGCAGATGCTCATTTAAATATCTATTGAATGAATGACTGAACCTCTTAAGACGTGGATTTCTCTCTTAAGATGGAGATCAGATCACACCTGGATCATCACTGTTATGGACTGAATTGTGTCCCCACAAAATATGTCAACTTGGCTAGGTCATGATTCCCAGTATTGTGTGGACTGTCCACCATTTTGTCACCTGATGTAATGTTCCTATGTGTTGTAAATCCTCTAAGATGTGACGAGATGGGATTAGTGGCAGTTATGTTAATGAGGTAGGACTCAATGTACAAGATTAGATTGTGTCTTAAGCCAACCTCTTCTGAGATATAAAAGAGAGAAGCAAGCAGAGAGACATGGGGACCTCATACCACCAAGAAAGCTGTGCCAGGAGCAGAGCATGTCCTTTGAACCCAAGGTTCCTGCGCAGAGAAGCTTCTAAACCACGGTAAGATTGATGACAAGGACGTTCCTCCAGGGCCAACAGAGAGTGAAAGCCTTCCTCTGGAGCTGGCGCCCTGAATTCAGACTTCTAGCCTACTAGACTGTGAGGGAATAAACTTGTTTGTTGAAGCCATCCACTTGTGGTGTTTCTGTAACAGCAGCACTAGATGACTGAGACAATCGTGGACCCATCGTGCAAGCTCCTAACATAAAGCCAGAGATTTGGAGTAGGTCATGTCCAATTCCCAGGGTGAGAGGCTGGGGGCAGTATGGGCTAGTTGTGGGGTGCTCTGAGGCAGGCATAAGGCAGGACCTACCGTACTGATGTGAAGAGGGAGGTTCTCTGTGTCTGTCTGCTCATCCTGCTCCGAGGAATCCGTCTCTTCCATTTGTTGCATCTCCAGCTCAGATGGAAGAAGGGCTGTCAGGTAAGGGATGGTGAATGGTCTGGCAGCAATCACTGGGAGAATGGAAGAGAGGCACAACTACTCCACTGTCACAGAGTCCTTGCAGCAGGCCCAGAGCCTCACAACAAATCGGCAAGAAGCACCAAATAACAACACTAGTCAACATGTTCTGAGCAGTTACTCTGGGCTGGGCAATGTCCTATGGCTTTAATTCTCACTGCAATCCTATTAAGTAAGTACAATTACCATCCTCATTTTACAAACAATGAACCTGAGGCACAGAGAGGTTAGGTAGCTTCCTCAAACACACAGAAAGTGGCAGAGTGGCATCTGAACACAAGCAGTATGACTTCAGAGCAAGTCCACCTGAAATCAGACAGAACTGGGGCTGAATCCTAGCCGTGCATCAGCTCTGTGATGTTGAAGCCAAGGTCAGTTAACCGCTCCGTGCCTTCTTTCTAGAGCAGGGATACTGACTGTTTCAGCCTGATGGACTCAAGTCCAAATACTGGACTTCAGAACTCCCTGCATGTATGTCCACCGAGCTACAGGACACTAAGGTAAATGACAGTTTCCATTCTTCCAAAAAACAATGAGAAGGAGGGAAGAAATTATTATAAAACAAAAAAATTTTTAAAAGAAAGTCTCTACAAATACATTTATGGTAGATGCAATAGTTGGGAGACACTCTAAGATTATTTCAATGTGGCTAAGATGTGGGTTCTGCAGTCAGAAAGAGCTAGGTTTGAATGTTACCTACTAGCTGTGTGACCTTGGACAAAACTTCACTTCTCTTTCTCGTAAATATTGATGTCCTATAATTGTGGTAACAACAGTTTCTAACTCATAGACTCATGAGAAGATTTAATGAGATAATGTATGAGAAATGATTAGCCAATACCTGGTGATAAATGTTACCTGCTATTATCCCAGAGTCAGGTACACAGCAGGCATTCAAGAGGAGTTTGCTGAGTGAATGAATCACCGAAACCAATCTCCTTCATTCACCTTTGTAAAAACTGAGGCCTAAGGAGCCCTGGTGTCACAATAGTTAAGTGCTTGGCTGCCAACTAAAAGACTGGTGGTTCAAATCCACCCAGCAGCTCTGTGGGAGAAAGAGCTGATGATCGCTTCCATAAATATTACAGCCTAGAAAACTCTATGGGGTGGTTCTACTCTATCACACGGAGTTGCCATGAGTTGGAATTGACTCAGCAGCACACAACAACAACGTGAAGATGAAGTAACTTCGTCCCTTGGCCAAAACACAGTGCTGAGATCGGAAGTTAAGTGAGGTGGTGTGTGTGAAAGGACACAGTAAAGGTCAAAGCCTGGCCGATGTTCTGTAACTGATCCCGCCTCCTGGCTCCGGTGCTCCTTCCACCACCTGGGCTGCCACTTCTGTGTGAATCTCCTGGATGCCAGGGCTCAGCCACCCTTGAGGTAAACGAAACTCAACCTACCTCATGTGGCCAGTCCCAACAGAGGCTGTTACTGTTTCACAGTCAACAGCAGGGACAGGCCCTAATGATCTGGGAAAAGGAGCCAGAAATCTGAGGAACAAGCTTCACCCAAGATAAGAACAAAAGAGTTACTGTTTCTTCCTACCATGCTGAGAGAAAGGGAAGATGAAGCGACTATCTCAAATGACAACACAGAGGCCACAGAGGGGAGCAACTCTCACATGGAAATGTGCTGACATCATCTTTGAAAAGACTCTGGGTCTCGCCTGTCTTGGCCATAAAACGGGTGAGTGCCCGTTCCACATCGCGCCTCTGGGATGCAGCCTTCTCCCGCAGGACCTGGTAGTCAGACACAGGCTCACGGTAGGTCTAGAAAGAGAACAGCACAGGACACTAGGACAATACCAAGGCATCATTCTGCTCTCCTCAAGTCACTGTTTTGCTGCTGCTGCATCCTTCCACCCTCTAAAATGACCCACTACTATTATTTAAGCAGATCCCAAAGGGCAGAAAGAAAACAACGTAACTACTCCTGATATTTATTTTTTAACCTTAAAAGTTAAGAAGTATATAAACATTTAAAAAGGAGATTGACCCCTGACCCTTCATTCAGCTTCCAGGACATCTGGTCTCAGGTAGAGCGACCTAACCTAAAGGAAGAGTGGGAGTCCCACCCCCTGAAGCTCTGACCGGGACTACCTGGTTCCTTCGCCGTAAGGTGACATCCTGACGTATGCAAGTGACTGGTTAAGTGCATTGGCAGATTGTACCATCTTGTTTCTTAAACCAACCCTCATAAAATGGACAAATTGTTCAAAAAGATTTTCTTAAAAGAAATATAGGTAGAAAATATTAATGTAAATGCAAATGACTAACAAAACAGCAGGATTAATGTTCCTCCTGCTTATAAGCTCTTTGGCAATCACATTATGGGGTGAAAAACAATTGAAATCTAATCAGATCTTTTCCCCTTAATTTTAAAAATAACTTTTTTATTATGGAAAATCTGGAAAACCCAGAAAACTACCCACAAAACAATTACCTATTACCCCATCAAGAATTACTATGAACGTTTTGTGGAATATCCTTCCAGTCTTTTTCTATATGGCTTGCTGCTTGTTTGTTTTGGTGGGACAGCCAAGACTGGGGCTTCAATTTCTTTGTTAACTAAACTTTTGTCAGCAAATTTGAGAACATAATTCTCATTCACCAAATTGTTTCTCAATGGGGAAAGACATTCTGAGTTCTTAACAACTCTTTTACCAACAAACTTTTGGGCTCCAGTCAGTAGGAACTCACTCTGTTTTACGTCAGTCACAGCCCCACTGTGGTCTCATCACTCACCGGAGTTTTGATGTAGGTGTGGGGATCTGGGAACTCAGGAAAATGGTTGGGGATGTGTGGTGGATGGGGTCGGTTCTGCCCTGCTGTGAGGGCCTTGGGGGTCACTGGCTGATTGGTCACTGGAGCTGCAACAGAATCACAACCTGTTACTCCTCCACGCAAGGCCATGGTTTCTACAGCTTATGGTCTCTGTCCACCCAAGGCTGTGGTTTCTACAGCTTATGGTCTCTGTCCAAACTCTGCTTTTCTGAAAGCGAATGCTGGACCTCAAATTCTCTGAATAACAGGCACCTTGAGTTTCTATCAAGAAAAGGGCTTTAATAGTTTCAGGACCTGAGCAGGTCACCCCCACAATGCTGAGCCCTGCCAGATGCCCTTGGCTGGCATTCCCATCTATACCAGCCTGCCTGCATAACTCTTAGGTAAGGAGGTGGGTGGCTGTGACAGCATGTAAAAGAGCATGCTGAGGAACTAAGGAAGATGAACAGACTGCTAAATCTCCTCTTTTCATGACTCCACAAACTTCTCACAGTGTAAAACAAAAATACGCACTGAGCCAGGGAAAGTGAGTGTAGGTTTAATGACAGCAAGAGGAGACTAAAAATGGCATTTTCTCTGCTCCTTTGAGAGTTCTTAAAAAGATGCCAGCATGAAAAGAGCAATAAAAAAAATTCAGTCACTTCTTCCCAAGTCTTACAAGTCCAAACCAGTCACTCCTTGCTCAGTTTATGGCACTCAATTTAATTTAAGGCAGGGGTCAGGAAGCTTTTTACGTAAAGGGCCAGATAGTAACTATTTTAAGTTTTGCAAGTCATACAGTCTCTGTTACAATTACTCAACTCTGCCATTATAGTGCAAAATCAACCATACAGAATAAGTAAACAAATGAGCATGCTTGTGTTCCAATAAAACTTTATTTACAAAAACAAGTGGCAGGCTGAATTTGGCCCACAGGTCATGGTTTATTGATCCATTATCTAAGGAAGAACAAGAACATCTACGTTTTTCAAGCAGCACTGATTGCTCTTCTGGGGCTAAAGCACAAGAACCACTGCAACATCTCAGAGACGGGTTACCTTTCTGGTACTGAACTTCTCATCCTAATCCTATTTACCCCAGGTAAAGATTACAGTGTAGGTAGCCCTGAAGAATGGAAAGGAGCCTGCAACAAAGAAGTAGCTACCAAACCTATCCCTGCCCTACTCAATTAATTCATTCCACAGGCATTAGTTGAGCATCTACTGAGTACCTCAGTTCAGAAACACTTACGGGCAGTGATAACCATCCTCTGAGACCGTTTTGCGTAAGCAGGGAGAGTGTCCACGTTGAAACCTAAGAGACAGGAAAACAAAAATCACTATCCAGACCACTAGATATTGAACATGGAAATGGGAATAATATTGTGGGAAGAAATGGTTTAAGCTCCCAACTCAGTCTCTTTGCTGCCACTCAAAATAGGCTCTAGCAGAATGAACAGAGATAGGATGAACAGAGATAGGAGGCCTCTTAAATGGTTTAGGGCAATCCTCTGGATAACTCTCTCAAGCTAAAATCAAAAGCAGTGATCCAAGAACATTCAGCAGACATGGCTGACTTGTGGTGATTCCTCACTCTCTTGCAACTCCAACTTGGTTACACTGAAAAATTGGAAACTGGAGGTGTACTCACCCATCTCAACAAGTGTGACCACGATATCCGACAGTGTGGGCTGTGTCCTGGCTGTGTGCTCACAGTAAGACTTGGCACTCCTCCCAATTTCCGAAATGTCTAGGAAGGGACCAAAGGCATAAAGTCTTGTTCTCTGGTGGGTGAATTTTTGTTTCTTCTCTCTGAAGCTAAAACTCTAATTAATAGCCACGCTAAAGTCTTTCAAGGGAAAATATCTAAAATGGAGTTTATGAAGCTGGCTTCAAGAATGGGCTTTGGCAGTAGAAGAGAGGTTCCATGAATACTCTAAGGTTATGCTGAATATTACACAAAAATGTCTTTTTCTGGGGAATCAGCCACAGCTCTCATCAGATGCACAAGGGGGCCCCAAAACCGTAAAGAACTGTTGATCTAGGGACCTGATGGTTCACAAGATAAAAGCAAGCGGTTCCTGACAGGGAAGGGTGTCTAACTGAAGACTTGCCACCAACTCCTCACGTTACTCCGAGCCAAGTCAGCAACACTAGACTCCACACATGAAAACGGTGGACAGGATCTGTTTACCGTGGGAAAATATAATTGGAATCCTGGTAGAACATCTTGGGAATAAACCAGGTGGGAGTTAAAAATGTCTTTACCCATTTGGTTTTTTCCCTACATGCCAGCAGGTCTGGGGATGTCAAAGGATGTGTACAGCAAATGTAGAATACAACATGGAGACTTTGCTCTGAGGCCAGTCCAAGACTGGGGTCCTTGGGAACAAAGCGATTTCAGTCAGTAGGCAAAACAATTCTGCACAGTGCTTATCACTACCACGAGCCCTAAACTTTGACATCCAGAGCTACTGACAACATGGAGATGCCTAAGTCTTAGCAAGCCCTCAGCTTAAACCACCCATCCTTTGGCTGAAGAAGTAGATTTTTTTTATTCCATTTCAAAATCTTTTAGTTCTAATACTCATAGCTTTCCTCCACCAACTATTACAGCTCCACCCTCTTCAATGGCAACCATTTCCTCTTAGAGAAAAAAGGTCTCTCATCCAGTGGTATGAGAAAGAACCACCTCATCTAGCATGATCTTTTAACTGTAAATTCCAAGATCTTTTTAAGAACTGAATTCTTGTCTATTGGGAATTATGTATTAGTCCATTCCTTCAGGAAAAAACATTCTCAAACTGTGGTCTGGAAACGCCTAGGAATCCCTGAAATTCTTTAGAAAGTCCATAAGGTCAAAAATATTTTCATAATAAGATATTATTTGCCTTTTTGACTCTCATTCTCTCATGTAGAGTTTTGCAGTGGCTACATGACCTGTGATGATGACATGACTCTGATGGAAAATGCAATATGTGCTTGCACATTGTTATGTTCTAATGTAGCATATATTTATATCTGCATCTCTCTCTATAAAACCGACGTATACAAAAGCTCCTTGGAGTCCTTGACATTTAAGAGTCTAAAGGGGTCCTGAGACCAGAAAGTTTATTACTGCTTTAGGAAAACATTTGGTATTTCAAAATACCAGCTGCAGAAAGCTGTTCCACCCGAAATCATGCCCACATCAAGTGACTGATCAGGACTGGAGTACAAAGGCAGGGCCATTTCAGCCTGATGTGGGACACTCTGGTGGGCAAGAAACACTCCAGGTTCCCTGCTTTCTTTGTTGGGCCTGTACTGCAGTTCTTCTCCCTCTGCCCAAACTTTTCTCTCACTTCCTTTCACAGGTGTTGATCCCTAAAAAACATCTTAAACACCCCCATCCCTCACCTCCACCAAAATAAAAGTCCCAAACAGGGAAATCCATTGTACATGCAGAAATGCTTATGTGAGACCATACCAGCCTTCTAAACCTCAAGTCACTTCCTGTTTAAAAATGTTTATTCCATTATATAAAGTTTATTAATCCTCACTCTTTGTATCAAACTACATAGCATTTGATTATATAATGTGCTGGCATCTATTTCATGGAAATTTGTTTTGGCATCCCAACAAAACTACGTTCTTTGAGCAGAGACAGTAAAAGAGCAATAATAGGGCACCTACGAGTCATCAAGAGCTTATGATGTTCCCAGCATTAAATGTTAACATATACATCTCACTTACCCTCACAGCTCTAACCAGTTGCCGTCCAGTCGATTCCGACTCACAGCGACCCTATAGGACAGAGTAGAACTGCTCCATATGACTTCCAAGGAGTGGCTGGTAGATTTGAACTGCCGACATTTTGGTTAGCAGCTGAGCTCTTAACCCCTGCACCACCAGGGCTCCAAGCCTCAAGACTCTATGAGATGCAAATTTTTATTCTATTTCACAAATGAGGAAACAGGTTCAGAAGGTTTAGTGACTTGCCCAAGCTATTAAATGGCAGAGTGATGATTTACACCCAGGTCTACCTGATTTCTAAAGCCTGTAAATCATTTTACTATGCTCTACTTTTTCTTAAATTCTCTCACATTATCACAATGCAGGGCACAGAACAGATGCTTGGGTTGACTCAAAGAAAGCCTAATATTTCCTGGTACTCACAGCTCTGCAGCATCTCTGTCAACGTTTCCACGGATGCTTTCTCGGCACTTTCAAACCCTGCCTCTGTCAGTAAGGAGCTCACAACCACTTGCAGGGTTCGCCTCCGGGCCAGATGGTAGTTATCAGCAGGGTTAGTGGACTGTTTACTTCCTGATCTCTGTCTCATCAGCAGCCCAGAGAGATTTTCATCCACAGGACAAGGATGGAATCATATAGTTCACACATAGTCAATGACAAGCAAAAGTTCTTTGCTAAGTACTTATATCAGTGCTTAATAAAAAGTAACGAGCCCTGGTGGCGCAGTGGTTAAGGGCTTGGCTGCTAATGAAAAGGTCGGCCGTCCGAACCCACCAGCCACTCCACAGGAGAAAGACATGGCGATCTGCTTCTGTAAAAGATTACTGCCTTGGAAACCCTATGGGACAGTTCTACTCTGTCCTATAGGGTCACTATGAGTCGGCTGGATGGCAACGGGTTTAATAAAAGGTAGCTGCCCCTTAGACTTAGCAATCTTGGCCAAATGAGTAATAACTGAACACCCACAGAGACAATTTCTGCCTACCTAAAACTTACAATTCCAATAACACATAATGGCTGTTTTTTTTTCCCACTGATACTTTGGGTATGTGCGTATATGGTGCAAATACACACAACAAACCCAAACCCACTGCTCTCAAGTCGATTCTGACTCATGGCGACTCTACCCCAAAAAAAACAAAAAACAAAAACCAAACCCGTTGCCATCGAGTCAATTCTGACTCATAGCGACCCTATACGACAGAGTAGAACTGCCCCATAGGGCTTCCGAGGCTGTAATCTTTACGAAAGCCGACTGCCACATCTTTCTCCCATGGAGCGGCTGGTGGGCTGAACTGCTGATCTTTTGGTTAGCAGCCCAGCGCTTTAACCACTGCGCCACCAGGGCTCCTTACACAACAAAACATTCGCCAATTCAAGTTTTTCCATGCATAATTCAATGATAATGATTACACCGTTCATTTTATGCAAGCTTTATCCCTTTTTCCTTATGATTCTACCACCGTTAACGTAAACTCAGTGCATAAAGGCTGTTTTTTACTTTCTACTTTAGCGGATCGTCAGAATATATTACTGAAAGAGTACACATGATAGGACTGAATTTATATGTCTATCTCCCAGGGAAAAAAAAAAGCTCTTTCTCTTCTCCCATCCCTACGCCACTTCACTAACAAGAATAATTAAAATAACAACACACGACGCTCGGGAGAGGGGGGCAAAGTGTACACCCAGGGCACCTAAATATTTTGAAACGGAAATCTCTCCCAACTTTGGTTGGCCAATAAGAAGGCGAAAACGGTCTCTTCGGACCAATCAGAAGATGTTCCGGATTCCCAACCCCCCCCAACAGGGAGCGAGCCAATGAGGACACAGGTCCTCCAACTCAGGAGGCCGCCGCCAAGTCCCAAGGGGTGGGGGGGCCCATACGGCCTGAAAGACCCTCCTCCACTCGGAGCTTACGTTGGGGCTGAATTTGCGGGTATAAGCTTGTTGCCCAGGTCAGGGGGAAGTTACGGAACACTCAAACTCTCTCGGCTTCGGCCCCGCGCATCCTGCCCTTACCGTTCCGGAGCTGCCGGCCCCGGCTGGAGCCACCGTGTCGGCCATCTTGCTCTGGCGTAACGTGTGTGAGCGCAGGGTGAGATGGGACTTGTAGTCGCAGAGAGGGGGCGGGGCGAGGCGGCGTGCGCCCCTCTGGGGTTTGGGCAGCCGACCTGGATCCCGGGTGCCGCTCATGTTCCGGTTCACGTGACCTGAGAGCGAAGGGGGTTCACCCGGCCCTCGTGGGCCAGGGAATGGGCAAAGAAAATTCGCGCTCGGTTTTACTAATTAAAAGAAACCTGCTTCGATATGAAATAGTTTCTCGTAAAGAGCACATTCGTGGAATGATCCCGGTCGTCTACACTCGTGACGTTTTGCAAATTTGCCTGATTTGCAACACCTGGCTTAGTCCAACCCAGCCCCAGAGACTCACTCTCTGGGAGGGGGAGGCGGGGAACCTGGGAATCCGTATTATCTCGCTCCCCAGGTGATTCTCCTGATGAGGCAATTTTGGGAAACCCTGAAGCGTCCACTCTATGATTTTGTCAGTGAAGACCCTGAGGCGGTCACCTAGTCCAGGTTTTCTCTCTACATCCCGCTGCCTTCTCGCCCTCAATCCGCAGACTTCCGCGGGGGCCAGCCCAGGAGGCGCAGGCAGCGGAGGCTGTGCCTGTCCCGCCTCGCTCCCGGGGCATCGCGTCCACGCGGCTGCTTGTGGTTTTCTTCTCACCTGCCCACCAGCCCATCTGGACTGGCAGTCCCTCAGGCGGGGACCCTCGCTCCCCCGCGCCTTATTCGTGGTCGTTAACGAGTGCCTGGCAGGGCGCAGAGGCTGGGTTTGCATCCTAACACTTGCCAGCTGTGAGACTTCGGACAAATTATCTCATCTCACTGTGCCTCAGTTTCCTCTACCTGTAAAATGGAGTTGGGATTGATACCAGGGGAAAAATGAGGTAATACACAGGGTTTGTCACGGTGCCTGACGTATACAGTAAGAGTTCCAGAAATTGTGCCTAACGTTGTTATTTATTTCCTGGGTAGCGCATGGCGATAATTCGCGAACGTCCAGCGGGCAAAAGTCTGGAAACCTGAGCTGCGCCCGCCCTGCGGCCTCACCACAGAGCCTCGCTGAGCGCCCCCGCCCCCCAGGCACGTTGTGGGGGGTGTATCTGCGGACTGGGGGTGCGCGGCGCCGGAGGAGCGCCCGCCTGCGCGCGGGGGCCGATGGGGGGGCAGACTTAAGTAGAGCGAGCACCCAGCCCCTTTGTCTCCCCCGCCCCCTCTGCCCAACTTCCTGCCCAGCTTTCAACTCGGGATCCGCGGCGCGGCATCGACTTGTAAACACGCCGCTCCTGCGGGGGTGGAGACGGGCTCAGTTTGGGCGTCGAGGGAGGGGTATGAGCCTCTCCCCAAGAACAGAAGCGAAAGGGTGCAAGAGACAGCGTCTGCGTCCACATTCCGTGCTCCGTGGGGCTCACCTGCCTAGGAGGTAGGCTTAGGGGCTGGAGAAACCAGGAGAGATGGGGTGTCAGCCTCGCCCCCCTTCGCTGGTGCTCCGAAGCTCAGGCTGCAGACCTGAGGGGGGTGTTGGAGGCGAGTGGGTTATGGGGCAGCCTTGCTCTCGTCACCTCCCTGTTTGTCCCCAGGGCTCTGCTCACTTTTCCTTCTGAGTGAGCCTTTCTGCACGGAGTCTGCAGAGAAGTCTCCAACTCCTAAGTAGGAACCCAGCGCCCCGATTCTGTGGATGTCTGCACATCCGCAGAGTTCCGCTCCAAGATGACCTGGAAGCCAAGTGGCTTCACTGTGCTGTCCGGTTCTTCATACCTCGGAGATGGAGTAGGGGCAAGGAAGAGGATAACCAGTGTGGGCAGGGAGCCTGGGGGTGCTCTTGCCAGCCAGGGTTGAGAGAGGGAGGTCAGATCACAGACGTAAAAGGAGGGACCCCTGAGTGTTCTCCGTCCGTGGTGTCTGATGCGTAGACAGGTGATGGTCTTAGCTTCCTCTGTCTTTGAAGAAAAACTATTTTTGAGGAAAAACTGAAGAAATTGGTCGCCTTTTCTAAGGGAGCATTAATTTACTCATTGCAGGCATTGATTGAGCACCTACTAAATGCCTGGCGTTGTGTGGGCGGTGGGGGGGGGCGAGGGTGCAATGATGTTATTCATCCACTGCTAATGTGCCAAGTACTCTGGCTGAGATGACTTGGTAAGGCTTTAGAGAGAAGAGACATTTGAGTGGGGTCCTGAAGGATGAATATTCAAGAGGCAGAGAAGTGGTGGGAAGTCTTTGGGGGCACTTACTCATTCCACAAAGCTGTACTGAACGCTGACTGTGGTATTGGGCATTGGGTACACTGGGGATGCAGACAGACAAAATTCATTCTCTCTTTAGCCCACTGTCTAGGCATGAATGGAAGGGAATGAACAGAATGAATTCGGGGAAAGGCAAGTTTCTGGGTTGTTTTCCAAGAACCCAGGAATTTCCAGCACCACAGTGCAGCCGGAAGGGTCCCCCTGGAGGTGATGTGACTGACCATATAATCCTGGGGTGCCCACTCCCCATCCCTGAACTCTGAAACTGGTTCCTCCAACCAATTCTTGCCCTATGTCCACTACCTCATTTCTCTTTGGGGCCAGGCATGTGTGAGGAGAACTGGATCTCCATTGCTTTCCTGCAGAGTCTTCTGCTCTTTCAATTCTTGGGCTCCTTTGAGAGATGGCTGACACAGCAATTTGTTAATTCATTTTTCATCTGTTTGCTGGGTCCATGCTATGTGCCTGCACAGGCTAGATGATGGGGATATAATGGTAAACAAGTCAGAGCCTCTACCTCCTAAAGCTGAGACTGGAGTGAGGGAGCGCATCTTTGAGGATTCCAACAGGATCCCAGTCTGTACCAGTCCTCGAGGACTCTGACCTCCCAAGCACCTTCTCCTTCCTATTTCCCTCTGGGGATCAGGAATACTAGCTAAGGCACCATTGTCAAGCTTTCTTCTAAGTGCTTTAGATGTAATTTCTCATTTAATCCTCCTAACAACCCTATGAAGGAGCCTTGGTGGTTCAATGGTTAAGCACTCAACTGCTAACCGAAAGGTTGACAGTTCAAACACACCCATCAGCTCTGCAGGAGAAAGACCTGGCAATCTGCTCCCATAAAGATTACAGCCAAAAAAACCCTATGGGACGGTTTTACTCTGTCACATGGGGTCACTATGAGTCAAAATCAACTCAGTGGCACCCAACAAAAACCACCACAGCCCTATGAAGTAGGCACTAGGATTATCTCCATTTTCTAGGAGAGAAAACTTAGGCACAGAAGGGATAAATAGTCTCTCTTAGGAGGACACAAGAGCTGGGATTTAAACCTAGGTCACTTGACTTGGGAGGCTCTGTTCTTAACTTGCCTGCCTCCTAGGCTGACCACATAGAAAGTGCACTTGACCCAGGGGCCTAGGAGTTCCCTAAGGGGAGTCCACGGTCCTACACGCTTGGTTGATACGAAGGAGCGCTTGGTTGATACGAAGGAGCGAAGGAGCGTGAGCAGCAGCCTGTCAGCTGAGCTTGGGTGCTGGTACTGCTTACAAGGAGCCCCAGCAGGCCTGGAGCAGGCTTGTGGGAACTGCACAGAGCTGCTTTCCTGTGCGTGTGCTTTGTTTCCCGGGGTGAGCCTGACATACCAAGAGGAAGGAGGAATGTAAATAACCCAGGCGGAACCAAGGTTAGATGCGAGAAGGAACTTGTTGGCGTGGGTATGATGTGCCAGAATCTGGGCATGTGGGAAACCAAGACCCTCTTTGGTTGGGAACCTTTAAGAATAGCGGATAAATGGGCGCACCAGCCCAGGTACAAGAATGAGAAGGCAGGAGGGGACAGGAAAGCTGGTAATGGGGAACCTGAGGTCAAGAAGGGGAGAGTGTTGACATGTCGTGGGTTGGCAACCAATGTCATAAAGCAATATATATATTAATTGCTAATGAGAAGCAATTTTGCTCTGTAAACCTTCATCTAAAGTACAAAAAAAAAAAAAAAAAAAAAAAAGAATTGGAGCGATCTTTCTGTTGTAGATTCCAAGAGGAGCAGTCCACTTGGTAGCTGAGTAAGCGAAGATGGTCAAGGAGTGGGAGTAATCCTAAAATGCTGCCTTAGTTTTTTAGTGCTGCTGTAACAGAAATACCACAAGTGGGTGGCTTTAAGGAACAGAAGGTTGTTTTCTCACACTTTAGGAGGCTAGAAGTCTGAATTCAGCGTGTGGCTCTAGGGGGAGGTCCTTCACTGTCTGTTTTAGATTCTAGTAGCCAGCAGTCCTTGGTTCTTGGTGATCTTCTTGTGGCATCTGTCCGCCTCCGTTTGTGGTTGCTTGTCTTGCTTCTTCTAACTAAACAGTGATTAGGTTTAGGACACAGCCTACACAGATAGGGCCTCATTAGTGTAATAAAGAAAACCCTATTCCCAAATGAGATTATATCCACAGATATAGGGGTTGGGATTCCAATACATGTTTGGTGAGGTGGGCACAACTGAGTCCATAACAAATGTTCACCACCTCTCTTAGCCACAGTTGCTGCATCCCAAAGCTAAGTCTGTGTACCTGACCCACTCCCTCAGGACAGGCTGAGAAAAGGCCCACGATGCTCCAGGCCACAGGGCAGAGTTTCTGCGGGCCCCAGCCAAGTTTCTGTCAGTTTTCTGAAACTGTAGGTTTCTCACAAGGGCCCTCTGCACAGGCCTGGGGACCCTTTGAGGCTTGCCTTCAGCCAAACCACTTCATGCTTGCTTGTGTTCATCTTTGAGAGGAGTATGTGTTGTGAGGGGGAGTGAGATGGGCATTGATGCTGTAAGTCAAAGGTAGAGGGTGGGAACAGGGTAGAGGATGGCCACACAGAGATAACAGGTAAGCAGGATGTGAAAGTTCAGAACTGTACAGACCGCCAGGCCGCTCCTCCACCACACGCACCTTCCTCCCTCACTGGTAGGGTGGGGTGCGGTGGAACTCTTAACATGCCCCAGCCCCCTGCCCCAGGCGCTCGTTTGGTTGGCAATGGGGACATGTTGTACTCTTGAGAAACC